CGCCCCCTCGCCCTTATCCCTATCTCCCTTTCTCCCTTCCCTCGCCCCATCTAGCCCCTCCCTTTCTCCCTATCTCCCCCCCTCTCTCCTTATCCCGTCGCCTTTTCCTATCTCGCCCTCCCTTTTCTCCCATCTCCCTTCCTCACCCTGTAGAACATGTCCAGCCACATCCCGAGGCCGGAGTCCGTCTCCATGAACTCGTTGTAGGAGAGCTCGGGGAAGGAGGCCCAGATGGAGGTCCGGTCCCACAGCTCCATCTCGGGACGCTGCGGCAGGAGGTCCATGTCGACGGTGTCACTCGCGAAGTTGTTGTGCATGAAGGACTGGCCGTACTTGAAGAGCCTGGTGGAGGAGGAGGAGGAGGAGGAAGAGGTGAAGGGAGGTGCGAGGGAGAAGGGGTGAGTGTAATTTTTTTTTTTTTTTTTTTTTTTTTTTTTGGGGGGGGGAGGGTGAAGGGTTACGGATGTTTTGTGCGTGGGTGGGGAAGGGGTAAATCGTGTTTAATAATAGTCATAATGTATGATATTCTTGTAGTTTTCTGTGCGGAGTACCTTTTGTAAAGTTATAGGAATATCAACTGGAGTTTAAACTGATGACGAAAGACCCCATATCTGAATATCTATTTCCTCCTCTTTAATATATCATAACACTTATTTACACATATTTTTCCCAAGTCCTCCAAACAACAAACAAATTCTCCCCGGACACGTGCAGTAAAATGCATTAGTAACGGTAAAGTCGTAAAAGGAACATTACATTATCATAAGCATATCTTCAAGTCATTACTCAAACACAGCTTGGCCCTGGGTCGTCTTTAATTAAGGAAATCTCGTATCCTAGGCCCACAGGCTGAAGTTAGGCCTAATGAAAGGTTCGGAGGAAGGAGAAAAGGGCAAGGCCAAACAGCATCATAAATCAGATGCAGGTAAGTGTTTGATAAAGATAAGGGGAGCGAGATAGAAGGGAATAAGTACATGTGGGAGACAAAGAAGGAGCGAAGAGTACCGTTAGGCGTAGGTAAAAATAGATAAGGAGGAGGATGCGGGGATAAATAAAAGATAATAGCAACTAGATATGATTAAATGCAAGGCCTTCGGTGTTTGGGGATGCCAGAAAAAATGAGTCCAAAGGTAAAAAAATGATAGAGAGAGAGAGAGAGAGAGAGAAGAGAGAGAGGAGAGAGAGGGGAGAGGAGAGAGAGAGGAGAGAGAGAGAGAAGAGAGAGAGAGGAGGAGAGAGAGAGAGAGAGAGGAGAGAGAGAGAGAGAGAGAAAGGAGAGAACGAGGAGGAAACGAGAGAGACAGAGAAGAGAGAAGGAGGAGAAAGACGAAGAGAGAGAGAGGAAGAAAGGGAAAGCGAGGGGGAAAGACGAGAGGAGAAAGAAAGTGAAAAGAGAAAGAGGGAGGGTGGAGGACGGAGGGGAGAAAAGAGAGGAGAGGGAGGGCGAGAAGAGGGGAGAAAGAGAAGGAAGAGAAGAGAGAGAAGGGGGAGGGGAAGAGGGAGAAGATCGAGACGAAGGAGGAAAGGGAGAGAGGTGGAGAGAGAGAGGGAGAGAGAGAGAGAAAGGGAGAGATGAGGAGAGAGAGAGATGGAGGAGAGAGAGAGAGAGAGAGAGAGAGAGGAGAGAGGGAGGAGAAGAGAGAGAAGAAAGGCGAGAGGAGGGAGAGGAATAGAAGAGAGAGAGAGCTGAGAGGAGAGGAGGGACGAGAGAGAACTGAGAGAGAGAGAGAAGAAGAGAGGGAGAGGGAGAAGGAGAGAGAGAGAGAGACAGGAGGAAGGCGACGGAGAGGGAAGAGAGACGGAGAGAGGAGACGAAAGGGGGGGGGAGAGAGAGAGCGAGGGGAGAAGAGGAGAGAGATAGAGGAGGAGAGAGAGAGAGAGGAGAGAGACGAGAGGAGAGATAGAGAGAGGTGAGAGAGAGAGAGAGAGAGAGAGAGAGATGGAGATAGAGAAGAGAGAGAGACTGAGAGAGAAGAAAGAAGAGGACAGAGAGAGATGCAAACAGAGAGAGAGAGAAGAGACAAAGAGAGGAGAGAGAGAGGAGAAAGAGAGAGAGAGAGAGAGAGAGAGAGAGAGAGAGAGGAGAGAGGAGAGAGACGAGAGAGAAGAATGAGAGAAGGAGAGAGGAGAGAGGGAGGAGAGAGGAAGAGAGAGAGAGAGATGAGAGAGGAGAGAGAGAGGAGAGAGAAGAGAGAGAGAGAGAGAGAGAGATGAGAGAAGAAGATGAGAGGGAGAGAGGAGAGATGGAGAGAGAAAGAGAAGAAAGAGAGAGAGAGAGAGAGAGAGAGAGAGAGAGAGAGAGAGAGAGAGAGAGAGAGAGAGAGAGATAGAGATGAGAGAGAGAGAGAGAGAGAGAGAGAGAGAGAAGAGATGAGAGAGAGAGAGAGAGAGAGAGAGAGCGAGAGAGAGAGAGAGAGGAGAGAGAGAGAAGAGAGAGGAGAGAGAGAGAGAGGGAGAGAGGGAGAGAGGGAAGAAGAGGTGGGAGAGGAGAGGAGAGAGAGAGAGAGGAGAGAGAGAGATGAGAGAGAGAGAGAGAGAGAGAGAGAGCAGAGAGGAGAGGAGATCGAGACAAGAGAGAGAGAGAGAGAAGGGGGAGGGAAGAGAGAGTGACGGACAGACAGACAGATAGACAAAGACATAGAAAAAGAGAGACAGAGAAAGGGAGTGTCGCTTACCAGGCCGGGTCGTAGACGGAGATGTGCTCGCTCCCGTCAGCCTCCGCCCACGAGATCTGCAGCATCCCCTCCCCATTGATGGTGAGCGAAAGAGGCTTGAGGTTGACGTCGAGGTTGGGCGTGTCGACCAGCTTCTGCTTGGTGCTCGCGTCGATGCACTTCGGGCACTGGCAGTTGTCCCTCAGCTGTAGGGGAGAGAGGGCAGAGGGGAGGTTATTCAGTGGTACTGTGGCGGATTGGTTGCTGTGGGGGAGAGGGGAGGTTACCCGGTGGTATTGTGGGGAGGAGAGGTCAGGGGGGAGGATACCCTGGTGTGGAGAATAGTTGCTGTGGGGAGGAGAGAGGTCAGAGGGGAGGACTGGTACTGTGGAGAGGGAGAGAGGACAGAGGGAGGTTATTCAGTGGCGCTGTTGGTGGAGAGGTGCAGAGGGTAAAATATTCGGTGGTGATTTTAGCCGGTAAGTTGCTCTCGAAAGGGAGGGAGGGGCAGAAGAAAGGTCACCCGGTGGTACTGTGGCAGAATGGTTGGTGTGGGGGAAGGGATGGGGCAAAGGGAAGGCTATTGGGTGGTGCTTTGGCGCGTTACTCTGCGATTTCATTCAGGTTCAACGGAATGTTTGGGGGAAGAGGGTCTGCTTCTGAAGAGTGAAATGCTCTGTGTAAAGCCGGATATGGCGAGGCCCCGGGCAACGGATAAGAGGCAGGCACACCACCCGAGGAAGGGGGAATGAAGACAAGAGGTGGGGAACGAATAGTTTGAAACCTCGTAAGAACTATCGAACTCGCCATGAACAGTAATTTCAAGCTCTATTTCCAACCAAAAGGCGCGTTTTTCTCGGAGACCGTGATACCGTTCATACAAATACAATTGCGGGTGAACTTCATTCGATAATTAGATTCGAATTATGATAAGTTTTACCAATGCAATAAGTGAAATTTGTGATTCTGAATTCTTGTCTCAATCCAGAGGCATTTTGAAACGGACCTGTTGACCAGACTAAATACCTACGACTCTTAAGTGTTTCTGCATATCACAGATACGCATCAACACATGCGATGTGTGTGTAGGTGTGGAGGGGGGGGTGTTGTATAGATAACATATCTATATCCATCACCAATGGATAAATCTTGAGATTTGTACGAACTTTTATTGAAAAGGTAAAAAAAATAATAAGCTAAATATTACATTATTTCTATTAGGATCACTTTCCTTGTGGCACAAAGAGCAACGCGGTGAAAGTCAAAACAAATTACAATTTCTCGGAAAGATTACACAGTTTAATAAGGGAGATACGATAAAGATAAGATCACCAATCCAAACAAAAGGACATCGGGTCAAATGACCAACAATTTTGGGTAATTTACATCTCAAGCACAGCACACCGTAGCAAATAATAACAAAGCACAGCACAGCATACGTTGCCGTAATTTAGCTTAGCTCAGGATAAACAAAAGCGACACGCTCAGCATCGCGCCCGCAGTTTTCCGAGAATCGCAAGACAGGAACTACTGCGTCGCGCGAATCGAGGGTCGTCCCGAATGACCGCCGCGGAGGCTCGGGGCGACCCACGTTCCGGGAACCAGGCGACGAGGAACGGAGCTGCCGAGACGGATAGGCTGGGTGGTTGGAAGGAGAGGGAGGGGAGGAGGGAGGGAGGGAGGGAGGGAGGGAGGGAGGGAGATAGATAGATAGATAGATAGATGGATATATAGATAGATAGATAGATAGATTGGTAAGTAGGTAGGTAGGTAGGTAGGTAGGTAGGTAGGTAGGTAGGTAGGTAGGTAGGTAGTCAGGCAAATAGACAGGCAGGTAAATGGATGGATAGATAGATAAAGATAGGTGGGCAGACAGACAGATAGATCGACACACACACAGACATGAACACGCCGCAGCACCTACCCAGATGTACTTGAAGTCGGCGTAGGTGTGGTCGTCGAACATGACCTTGGCGGTGAGGTGCTGGGCGGGGAGGGCCGAGCGGATGGCGGGGGGGCTGGCCAGGTCAGCTCGCATGGCAGCCGACACCATCGTCGCCTTGCCTGAGGAGGTCGACGCATGGAAGCAAGAGATAACATATCAAAGAGGCTTATTAGGAACTGATGACGACGAACAGGAATCCATTTTCTTGCATATCCAGAAGTATATATACAGGATAAGGAATGCAAGCAGGTACGAGGGAGGCAAATAAGGGAAGCAGAGTGTGCGAGGTGAGTAGACTGACCTCTGACGTGGAGGCCGCGGGAAGGCTGTAGGGCAGGCACCGCCACGCGCCGCAGCAGTCGGAGACTCGTCGCCAGGGCCATCTTGGGGGCTTTCTGTAACTGAGGAAGAACATTTGTTACCAGGAATCGCAGAACACAGTCGGGGCGATAAAGTCTTAGCAAATTAAAGATTCTGTTGACAAGAGTATGTTTATTTTTATTTATTTTTATTTTTTAGATTACTGTCTGTGGTAAGAAATTATCTCGTCTGACCCTCCGATGTTTTAGGTTTTAATCCCTCATTTAGCATCCTGGCTGACTGCGTGTGTGATCAGGCATATGAATTTGATATATGGTAATGGGTAATATTTAGCCATAATCTGGATCGCATACACTCGCCCCATGCTACGAGTCCCAGCGATGGCCCTTGTATTGGAAAATTAGCTGTTAGAGTTTCAAAGAGCAATTTATGTGTTACTATCATATTCAACAATGTCCAAATAAAATCTGTCATTTGGTATGTTCTGCAGTATTTTCCTTTGTGCAATTAGCAATTCCCTAATATTACACTTATTTATGGAAATGTTTTTAGAAGACTGTAGTTGCTGGAGTTGATAAAGAATTATAGTGTCACCAGGTGGTTATATCCCAACTACTACTAGCTACAGAACAGCAAGTAGTGTAACAAATTGTTTGATCAATATTACGAAAGTGTTAATTTTGATGTGAATAGTTCCCTTATCAGACAACTTCAATAGAGCGGCTTCCAGGCCTGGAGCGGCTGCACTGTCACCCTTGGCTGCCAACTTTGAAAAGCGCGGCATAATGAAAGTTGCTAACATGGTATAGTTTGACACCGATCTTCCTGAGAGGAGAAAATCGTTCACATTTTCACGGTATCAGCTAATCACTCGTGATTACCTCCCTTGTCAACAAACCGATATTTTTTCAAAGATTTGCCTATCCAAAGTAGCCCTCTGTGATAAAATATACGGCTGTTCGCTTGTATCCGTTAGTCATGTTTGCATTTAGTTTTTCCCACATTGCATGCTCGACCTACCAGTACAAGTATCCATACCTCATTCTCGCGGTTGCAACATGCTAATCTATTTTTTTATATATGTGAACCGTAGATGATTATTCCCGCAAAGATTGGCCATAATGCTCTACACTACAAATTTCAGAGCACGAAAAATTGCACATCAATCGAATTCCTCCTACACGAGGTTCTGACAATGCGAGTCCCTAGCAAGAAGTATTCTAAAGTTATGTCCAGTTTTCTTGTTACATGCTAGTCGATCAGCACGACCATGCTTACGGATCCCGATATTCAGTGATATTCATAAGATACAACAACACGGTCACTGCGCCACCTGAGTTCATGATACTGATATTAGAATTTGCAGTACTATGAGCATCCCCGAAGATGGAAGCCGCGCCTTCATTTAATAACAACTCGTGTGCGTACTGTAACATCGCGACAAAGGACAGAGTGAATGGCCGAAGATACTAGCGTGTAGCGGATACGGAAATCTGTCGCGACGAAGGACATCTGCTCCTGTGCATGTCGTTGCAAACACGTAAAGTAACTGTCTTGCAACTGTGCAAACCAGGAAGGCAACAGCATATGCCCATGGGAGCATGTGGACGACCTCACAATGCAATATGATCAACACAATATCGAGAAAATGTGCTGATGCCAAGCGAAACTAGATCTGCCTTGCAATTCTCTGCAATTGTGAAACGGAGCCCATAGCTGCACTTATCCGCCGGCCATAATCACTCTGAACCAGTTCGAGCTGACAGATACGAGAAAAAAACACCCAGTTGCTGTATAATATATAATTTTCTTCTCACCCACTACCTACCTATCTAATTATATAGATAAAGAGACAGATGGATAGCTATACAGATAGATAGGCTGACTGACAAATAGATCAATAGATAGGTAAGTATATAGGCATACAGACAGATAAATGGATGGAGTGATAGACAGACAGTAAATGGATGGAGTGATACAGACAGACAGACAGATAAATGGATGGAATAATAGACAGAGAGACAGGTAAATGGATGGAGTTAAATGGATGGAGTGATAGACAGACAGACAGAGGATACTATAAATGAATGGAGTAATAGACAGATAGACAGGTAAATGGATGGAGTGATAGACAGACAGACAGATAAATGGATGGAGTAATAGACAGACAGATAGATAAATGGATGGAGTGATAGACAGACAGACAGATAAATGGGAGTAATAGACAGATAGACAGATAAATGGATGGAGTGATAGACAGACAGACAGATAAATGGATGGAGTAATAGACAGATAGACAGGTAAATGGATGGAGTGATAGACAGACAGATAAATGGATGGAGTGATAGACAGATAGACAGGTAAATGGATGGAGTGATAGACAGACAGATAAATGGATGGAGTAATAGACAGATAGACAGGTAAACGGATGGAGTGATAGACAGACAGACAGATAAATGGATGGAGTGACAGACAGAGAGACAGACAGCCATATGAAGGAGTCGGTGCATGACAAGGACAAGCCATGCAACCCTCCCGCCCGGTGGCCCGTCTGCCTGGCGTACCACCGGCCTTGAGCCTACTGGGTGCTGGTGCGTGCAACCTCGGATTCTCATGTGCAATTATTGTGCATGGACACGTGGCGACTGCTCTCCCTCCCGGCCTTGCTCGGCCCACTCACTGCACCCGGTAAAAACAATTTCATAAACAAGATTGCTTCACAGGGTATTACCAATAGAATAATCTATGCCTTGAGCGGTAAACCTAAATTGCTCGTCAAATCATCCCCGTATGGGAAAGCGAAGTTGACACTATACAGGCCCAGATGATCGCGTGAGGAGACACATCTGACTGCTTAGTTCTCTCTCGGATAGCTTTATTATCTTTCTTTCTTCTTTCTTTTGTCTTTTTTTTATTTTATGGAACCCGATCCTTGGAGCATGTGCGCTCGCCCTGACACTGCCTCAGTGCCAAAATGATTGCTTCACAGAAGTGTGCCTCTCAGAGGGCAGTATCAGGCTGGAATGAAAATATGGGTGATAAGGAAGCACTGCTGCGTCTGGAGAAATGGTGAACAGTTACCAAAATTAGTCAAAGATTTAAGTGCCACGAAGCCTAGTGCCCATTTCCTTTCCGTTCCCGTTCCTATCAGCTCCATCATTATCGCCCAATGCAATGCCCGCAGCGTTTATGCGGTATTGGCTACGAGGGCCTCGCCCAGCGTAACTTGATTATCTGGCGAGTAAAATGTACCTTCGGTGAAAAGGTTGTAAATCTTTGAAAGTTATTCACACTGTCATACATGCACTTGTGTATTTATAGCGTACTGAGCGAAGAGTTGCACATACTCTAAACACGACTCAACAGTATTCGCAAGAACTAGAACTTGACGCTGCCACCTGCGAGCTCGAATGGAACTGTAAATTACGTAGAGGATATACACTGGGATCTGCAAGTGTGGAAGAATGTCACAGTCTTATTGAACAGACAGCAAACGAATCCACATGTGAGCCTCAAGAAGTGGAACATTGAGTTATACAATCAGAAAAGGGCGATCTAATTAAGCCACACGACAACTTCATATATGTAGATAGCAAAATCGACATAATAGTGAAACTCATTAAACATTGAGATATCTACTGGAGATATCAGCACTTAGCAAGTAGCGCTTGGAAGACTATAGTAGACACCAAAGTCAACATAATCCTGCGTATGACCGATTGGCAGCAGAAGTGCGTTGATATTATGGAAGTACCTTTACTATTGAAACGTAGCACCTGAAAATGTTAGGGACATATAGAGGGACCAACAAAGAGAATAGACGATTGAGTACCATTGACAGATGAACCATAGAATACACGCTGCCACACTTTCCCAAAGAATGTTCAAAACATGAGATCAGCTGGAAGATGAGTGTAAGAAAGGTAGGAAGAAGTGTAATAGGTATGAAGGGAAGTACAATAGAGTATAGAGTGAGAAAACCGAAGTGAACCAGATAAAGTGTAATTCCAATACATTTGCACGGCACGTCTTCTGCCCTCTCCTTGTTCCCTGAACCCTCCATCCCCTCGCACCTAACCCCACCCCTACCGCCCGAACGTCTTCATCGCGCCTACCCCCCCCCTACCCCCTGTGTATGCCCATGCGGCTGTCTCAAACCCAAACGCCCATATCCCTTGAACAGCGACTACAAGCTTCACTCGTCCCCGAAAAGACTCTATCTGTCCTGTCGTTAATTGCCGACTTAGTAGTGGGCCAAAAACAAACGCTGTGAACCCGAGCATAAATTTCCATGTGTATTTAATATCCTGTTGTTGGCCTTCGTTCAGACACGTTTTTGCTGGACCGACAAAGCGGACCCAAACAGGATCATTGAGGCAGAGAAACCCATATCATACGGAACATTCTAGTATCGAAGCCCAAAAGAAGACAAAGAATCACCTTACCTACCAAGTCTGCAAAGCGCGACATTGAGTGTACTTTCCCACAAGGTAATCGGACAACGAGGAAATGAAGCAGATACATGGAGAATACGGGAATAAGAAACGAGGGAATGGAATGAGGAAGAATGGTTAGAAAACTGGAATGAATAAGGGATATAACGGAAGAGGAAATGGAACGGGGAATGGGACAAGTACATGGAAAAAAGGGAAATTAAGGAACGGAGGAATTCACACATGAGATAATCGGGAAGAAAGACATAGATGAAAGACACCAGTTGGAAGTAGAGAGAACAATGGGGGGAATGAAATGGAGTATGAAGCGAGGAATGCGAACAGACGGATAAAGGTTAATTAGAGAAGAACAAAGAGGACAAATACAAAAAGCTGGAAGATTAGTGAGATTAAGACCTTTTCTACAAGATATGAACACGGCTGCACTTATGGATAGAGTAATTGAGACGAGCTAGAAGGGAACCAAACTCTAGGAGGCAACAGCTAAGCACATTTGAAAATGAGTTAACACACTCAAGGTACAAATATTATACCCAACAGCCAGTAAAACTAGTGAGTAGAGTCATATCGTGATTATATGATGTAGAAACAGCTATGAGATGATGAATGAACAGGGAGGATATGAA